ATCTGACTTTTCCTGTGAAATCTGCCCAGCCCCTAGGGATCCTTTCCATAGCATTGATTGGGTATACCACTTCCTGGGAACTTAGCGCGCCATCTTATATGCTTACTGTCTTCTGTTCTTTGTATCTTGTCCACATGACCAGGCTGCGGATCCTTGAGCCGAAGTACTGTATGGTATAGATCTCACATATTGCTTTACACAGAGTGAATGCTTCATAAATGCCAATTGATCAACCAAGTATGAGAGGAAGGGAAATAGGGAAGTCTTATCAAATATGGGTCCAGTGATAGAGGAAGTCAGAGAAAAGGGTCTAGGTGGAGTCTTTATAAGAACAAGAGGAGAAAGTAAGTAACGATACTGAAAAGGTATAAAGAATTGAGATGCAAGGCTACAAGATCAAGAAACATGCCCTGGTAGTTTTTCTTGGGAATGCAAAATTCGTAGTATTATTAGTTTGAATGAATTAAGAGCTAATGTTCAATGTTGGGCTAATGTTCAGCATTAACCAATGTGGCTAAAATGATTTGATGTATGAATGTGTTTCATGCATGAATCTAGCTTAGATTTCTTGATTAGTTTGGCAAATTAGCCTATTCAGCAGTACCTAGACTCTCCAGCTAATGTTGATATTAACCTCTTTTTGAAAATGAAGCACCACAATTGTAAGGGAAAAAAGAAATTAGGAGGCTAAAGAAAAACGGGAAGAAAAGATTGCAGGGATCAGAAATTTTTTAAGAGGACAATATGCCATTCAATGCCTTGAAAAAATGTCTATTGGGTGAATAAACAAATGTACATAATAGGCGCTAAGTCATCATCTGTTGAATAAATGAGTACATCTGAATAAAGCAGTGTAGATGATGAATGGGGATGAATGGAAAAATAAATAGAAGACACAGAAAAGAAAAAGCTTTTGGCAGCCATTCTGAGGGATATACATATAGGGGGAAGTCTATGGCTGCCATTTAGTTGGAAAAGACAGCATAGGTGAGTAATAGAGCATAGGCATTCATAAAGGTTACTGGTATTTAGAAGGGAGTATCTACACTATGTCACTTTCCATGGAAACTCACAGCATAGTCAGGAACAGGCAATTCTAAATTCACAGTCTCAGCACATTGATGGGGGCCTCTGGAGGGGCAAGCTGCTTAGTCTCCTCCTCCTGTCTGATTCTGATGTTACAGACTTTGCCCAGCTGGTCTGGTTTCTGGAAATTGCTGTGATTGTCAGATAACTGAAGGGGGAGGGGGAGAAAGCTGGGAAATTTGGTAACTACATGATTTCTTGGCTAAAGTCCCTAACCCTTCAAGGAGTCCTCCTCACATTGCCTGACTGCCTCAAGCCAGCCAGATGGAGAATGCTGAGTATATGATGTTTGTATTCCACGGCCCAGTTTAGATAAGGAAGGGAAGAAAAAGGGAACAAGCACCTACTATGTGCCAAGCATATACAAATATAGTGCCAAGTGATACAAATAGTATCTCATTTGATCCTCATAATGATCTCAAGGTAGGTGCTATTATGATCTCCATTTTACAGTTGAGGAAACTTGTCCAAGGGTACTCAGCTAGCAAGTACCTGAGGCTGGATTTGAACTCATGTCTTCCTGACTCCAGGCCCAGCACTCTATTCACTGTGCCACCTAGCTGCACTTTGTGCAAGGGACACACAGAACTTTGCAACTTTGAGACCAGTAGGGACCATACTGGTGATCTAATCTAATCCTGCCATTTTGCAGATGAGGCAGGTGAGATTACTGAGGCCCAGAGAAGTGAAACAGCTTGTCCAAAATCACACGGCTAGTCAACAAAAGAGTCCAAATTAGAACTGCCTGTTTTCTGACTCCCACTTCAGAACCCTATCCGCTACAATTATGGGATAAGCTATGGAAAACATTGAAGCACTCTATCAGTATCTGTTAGAATAGATATTTCCTTGGTATAGGGAAATGCCAGATAAGAAAACTCCTCCTACCCATGCAAGTTGGCATCTTCTCCACAACCTACAGATTTAGAGAATTATCCAGAGCCCTGATGAACGAGGGGACTTGCCCGGGATCAGTCAGTATCTATCAGAGGTGGGATTTGAACCCAGGTCTCTCTGACTGGGAAATCAGCTATTTATCCATTTTATCACACCTCTCAAATATCTGTCATTTTATTATGTTACTACACCATATCTTGTTGTACTCCCTACCAATGACTAAGGGCTGACATACGATTGTTATTGATCTTTTTAATTGTATTTGATAAGGAATGCTCTCATTCTACTAATTCCTACCCTGATGCCTCTTCCTGGCATAAAAGAGACCTTCTGTTGTTAAAGGATACGGTGGTAGAGCACTAGCTCTTGAAGGTCCTAGTAGGCCCCCAGTGGCTCTATCTACAGGCCCAGAGAGGGCTATATGTCTTTTATCCAAAGCCCTACTTTTGGTGTTGTTTAGTTGTTTCAGTCATGTCTGACTCTTTATGACCCCATTTGGGGTTTTCTTGGCAAAGATCCTGGAGAGGTTTGCATTTCCTTCTTCAGCTTATTTTACAGATGAGGAAACTGAGGCAAACAGGATTAAGTGACTTACCCAGGGTCACAAAACTAGTGTCTAAGGTCAGATTTGAGCTAAGGAAGATGAGTCTGTCCACTATGCCACCTAGCTGCCCCCAAAGGATCTACTCAAATAAGGACATCACTAGGTTGGCAATCTTCTTTTGGCTACGGCAGCTAATGAAGTATGGGGCTATAAGGGGTGGAGATATTTCACATAATCATACCATTTTAGAATCAGTAGGAAACTTAGAGAGCTAATCCACCTCCCTATTCTGCAGACTCCTTCTGTCTACTACCTTGTTGCCCACACCAAAAAGCACACCCTGAAAGACCATAGTTTTCCTCTATGGTAACTGCTGCCTTGGGGCCCCCAAATCCAAATTGGTGATTTCTTCTACTGAACCGGTACTTCAGGAGAGCCCCCACTACCACGCTTCACTCAGCTCCCTACGCTTTGTCCATCTCCTCCTCAGTTCTCCAATTGTCTTGCTGTCAACTGTGTGTCCCTCCTCACACTTCCTCCTCTCCCCCTACCCCAAGGTCTGTAAGCATGAAACACAATCAAATGAATCACCATTTACTCCTGGATGGAACATGTCAATCTACTCCCCTGTATGCCGCTCACTATCCCCCATAACTTTCCAGACCCAAGTGCCTCTAGAGCACTGTCCACCACTCCCCTGCGTTAAGAAAGAATTGTCTTCAGTTCTAATTCCATTAGAATTTAAGGTCCTTGAAAGCAGGGATCTTCTCTGGTTTTGTATGTATAGCTCCAGCACTTTGTACAGAGTAAGACCTTAAAAAATGCTTCATCACTGATTCATCTTACAGATTGGAAAACTGAGAGCAATCTAGGGCCAGAGAAAGAATTTGACTTGCTCAAAGCCCCCATAGATAATAAATTCCTTTCAGCTCTTTTGTCCATAGTAACTAAAAAATATAGTGGTAGAATCACAGATCTGTTACTGTTGTTTTTGATAATGAAGACAAATAATAAAAATCTTAAATAATAAATATAATTGATATTAATTGAAATTTCCCTTTTCTTAATATGGTTTATTTGCAAAACAGTTTAATCATTAATTATACCTTTACTTGGAAAGCGAACTGCTAAAAACCAATCTGTGGTCTGAAGAAATTTAACATATTTTAATTTTGGCTCCTACCTACTGCCAAATTGTACAGGTCTGGTCTAAGGCTAGGCCTCCCAGGCCTAGCTTACCATACAGCGACTCCCCACTCTCCCATGCCTCTCTTCCAGAGCACTTGGAAACCTGCTTTGGGGCTTCAGGCTAAGGTCAGGGGGATCTCAATTCTCTCTCAAACACTCCCAGACAATCCACTCAGTGATGTCAGCAAGATCATGGAAAGAAAATTTGATTCAGAAAACCGGAAATACAGTCGTGGAAATGCTTTGACTTGCTTGGAGAATTGAGGGGCTGGTAGGTAGCCAGGGAAGGACAGGCTTGGAGTCTTAGCCTTCCTTGGGCATCTTGCCTAGCTTCTCCCTAGAAGGTGGTTTGTGATTTTTTTTTTCAGGAACCACTTACTTTTCCCTGCCTTCCTCTCTGGAGATTTAATCAGCCATCCTCTATGACAATAATCAGTCATTGAGATGGTGGAGGAACAAACACTGAGTAATAGCTGATTCGGGTAGACGGCAAAGCAAAGGGTAGAAAGGCGAGCTGCTGATAGTGTATAAATCTCTATGTACCCAACAATGACCCAAACAGACTCCAGGAGTGGCAAGGAAGCAGCTCCTCACTTCTCAGTGAGTTCTCCACATAGACAGAAAGGAAAGAAAGAGATATTGATTTTTCTTGGAGGACATCAGCAGAGTAGCAAGGAAATTTTACACTTCCAATTTTGCTCCACCTAAGTCCCCTGCAGGATAGCCCTATGATGTGACTTCTGCTTGCCTGAGAGACTTCTGAGAGAGAAGCTAAGGGGAAGAAAAGGGGCAGACTTTGAATGAAGACTAAGAGTATCCCAGAGCCATAAACCTGTGGGAAGGAGACTGCATCCCCAAATATCCCTTAATTCCCAGCCCCTAATCCACAGAGACTGCTAAGAGCTGACTATTATGGTGTGATTGTCTTCTGCCCGGAACAATGAGAGAAAATAGCTTTTATTCTGACCCTTCCTGGCCCTGTCAAAAAAAGAATCTTATCTCTAGATTTAAAAAATCTAATAGGTAATGGCTGGATATGATTTTTAGGTACAGATGAGCTTCTGGTCCCCACAAAGGTGGAATGATGATCTCCCCAAGACTTAGGGGTAGGGCATTCCACTTCAATCTATATATTCATGTTACACATGGGCTGGTTAATTCTATTTTACACGGTCTCACATTTGTTTTGAAAATATACACGCATAACGGTGTGACCCTGGGCAAGTCACTTAACCCCAATTGCCTCACCAAAATAACAATAATAATAATAATAATAATACAAACATTTGCAAGAAAACATCATTTTATTTTGTTCAAGTACAACGGAAAGCCAAACTATTTGTTGCCAAATAGATGCTTTGCCTGTCCTTGGCCAACTCAGCACCCATTAGGCCATAAGAATTACCAGTACTAGATTGGATTCATTCCATAGCCAGAGACATATCTTTTTAAACTAACCCTTTTTCTTAGGTATGATTAAAATATCTACCCATTTCTCAATTTTTTAAAAATAGCCTTTGGGGAACTTTGACACACAAACACTGTCTGCTGGGAATTTCAGAGAGACAGAAAAAATTGAGACAGAGATATAGGCACAGATAAGAAAGGAGAAACAGAGGGGAACAGCTCTAAATCTATAATGCAGTGATAAGTGGATTAGATACCATGACCTTAAACTTCCCTTCCATTTCTAACATTCTGATCAAGAGGTACAGAGATTGAAAGCTGTGGAAAGATGGAACAGAAATAGCTGGGCAGGCAGGTGAGGTCAAGGCTCTGGATCTCCTCTTGTCTTCCCTCCCTTCACCTTCACTAACAGGGTAGTCCTCTCACACGAACCCAGACATGTCACACTCAATCCTGCCCCCACACCTTTGGCCATGTTCTTCTGACTTGCCTAGAATTTCTTCTGCTCTTCTCTCCCCTGTGTTCTAATCCTACCTCACCCCTTTTCAAAGTGTGGCTCAAATTCAACCTCCTGCAAGAAGCCTTCATGGACCACTTCATCCCCACACCAACTAGTCCTCTGAACTCAGAGTGTTAATTGTCTGCATCTGTGGTGTTTGCTGTAGTTTCAATCCTGTTGGCCTCACCATCTCAACCAGAATCATGGGTTCCAGAAGGGCAGAGACTTGATTTTCTATTTTTATCATGTTCCCCCACAGTGTCTGGCATATTGCCATATAGATATTAGATACTGAAAAAAATGCTATTGATTTCAGTCCTCTCGATAGGCCATCACCTGAACAAGTTCCATAAACTCTCCAGATCTCAGTTTCCTCATGTATAAAATGAGGGAGTAGAGTGAAATGATATCTAAGGTGCCTTCCACCCCTAATAGTCCAGGGGCTGATGAGACTTGGAGGATTTAGGCTAGGCTTCTATTATCTCCACCCTGCTGCTGCTGAGGAGATAAGGTCTGCAGAGAAGAATTTGGCCAAGCCTGAAAGATCTTCATGCCCCAGCTGTCTTGCTTCTCTCCAAACCTTCCCTGATTTTGGTGGTTAGTGGAAATATAAAGTGAGGAGTGGGATGCAAGGAGGGTAGCTTTCCCTGATCCCATTTTGCAGTCCCCTGCTCAGTTCAGAGGGCAGTGAGTGAGTAACTAAGAAAAGGGCTGATATCTCCTGACAAAGGTACACTGGTGCTAGCCCCAGGACCAACCTGTTGGTGGTAGATGTCTCACTCCCTGAGGCCCAAAGGAAAAACTGCCCAGGTGTCCAACCTAAAGCCCCCGGAGAAAGGGATTCTGAAAGCAGAGCCCCTTCCCAAGCTTTGCCCAGCCCTGCTACCCTAGGGAAGGTAGTATAGCTATTGCCTCGGCTCAAAGTTTCACGTCCAGCTCCAGGTCTTCACCGAACTCAGTCTTGTGGGCAATGGCTTGAGTGCCTGATGGTGTTGAAGGTCGGTTCTGCCTGCTGTTAAGGTAGACCTGGATGGCCGAGGCACAGTCCAGTCTCTCCATGGACGTCATGAGGTAGTGAAGCTCCTGGAGGCTCCCATTCTGCTCCTCAAACAGCTCCAGGACAGCAGCTGCTGGACTTCGCTGGCAGGACAGGAACCTGCCCGGGGAGAACAGGAGTCAGAGGATGCTGAGAAAGGTTTCAAGTCTTAATCCCAGTCCCTTGTTCTTCCTCTATACCCTCTCAGAGAAGTGACTGCCTCCCAGCTTTACCTCTAAGCTGATGCTATAGTGGAATCCCACCTCTGACACTATCTGTGTGACCCTGGGCAAGTCATTTCACCTCTCAAGGCCTCAGATTCCTCATCTGTAAAATGAGGGGTTTGTCCTAAGTGACTTCGGAAGTTCTTTCTGGCTTTTGGTCAATAAGACTATGGCCTAACTTCCAAAGACGGGATAGAGGGCTGGATTCGGAATCCAGAAGAGCTGGGTTTGAGTCATGCCCTTGACTCTTACTGGCTGTGTGTGACCCTAAGCAATTTTCACTGTGAGTCCATTTCTCCTGTGAAATAATAACATCTCACTGGATTGCTCAGAGACTTAAATGAAATAACATATGTGAAGTGCTTTGTAAAATTAAAAAGAATGTATACCTGGGGATCGGCTATTTTTTTATTGTTGTCATCTCATTCAATAAGCATTAATCGAGTACCTGTTTGCCCGGTTCTGTGCTAGGCATGAGGATTCAAAATTATATCTACATATATGTGTGTATACGTATGTATAGAAAGATCTATGTAGATAGATACATAGATAGATAGATAGATAGATAGATAGATAGATAGATAGACAGACAGACAGACAGACAGACAGATAATAGTCCCTGACTTCAAGGAACTTAGATTCATCATTATATGTTATCATTATCTGTGCATGTATATAAAATGTGTGTGTGCGCTAGGTTGGGGTTTCAAAGATTTTATATATATGTACATATATATATATATATATATATGTACATATATATATATATATTGACTTATGTACATATATATATGACTGGACTGCGCCTCGGCCATCCAGGTCTACCTTATATATGTACACATATAGATAGATAGATAGATAGATAGATAGATAGATAGATAGATAGATATGTATATAGAGAGATATGTAGATGGACATATAGATATAGATAAATACATACATGCATAATACATACTTACGTGTATATGCATGTATGTGTATATATATGTATGTATGCATGTATGTATATAAAATAGTCTCTGACTTCAAGGAACTGAGATTCATCATTACATAAGCCCTCAATCTTGACATTTCATGCTTTGAGCTAGTGTCATAAACTGGAAGGAACTCTGAACTGGCAAGAAGGAGAAATGGCACCTAGACCAGAGTCTGCCACCAAGTAGCTGCGTGACTTTAGGCAAGTAACATCCCTTCTCTGGTCTTTATATTCCCTCAGTTTCCTCATCTGTAAAATGAAGGCTATTACCTAGAATACCTCTAAATCTCCCTCCAGTCCTAAAATGCTATGATTATATCAAATATAACAATGATGATGATGATGATGATGATAGCTAACACACAGCACTTTGAAAAGCATTTTACGAATATCTATTTGTTCCTCGAAACAAACCTGGGAGGTAGGTGCTATTATCATTCCCATTTTACAGATGAGGAAACAGAGGCACGGCAAGGTTACAGGACTTGAATCAAGCAGCTAGTGTCTGAGGCTAGATCTGAATTCAGATCTTCCTGAATCTAAGCCTAGCAGAGTTCTAGTCACTGCCCACCTAACTGCCTCTTGTATCTACCCCTTCTCCATTCCCACTGCCACAACATTCATGCAGACGCTATCACCTCAGATGGTCACAGGTTTAGAACTGAAAGGAACCATGAAAATTCACCTAAAAAAATCACTTCATTTTATAGACAAAGAAATTGGAGGCCAAGGAGGGGAAGGACTTCTCCAAGGTCGCAAAGATAATATCTGGACTATTATAACGATTTCCCTGCCTTCAAGTTTTGTCTCCCTCAATTCCTCTCAAAAAGCCATCAGATAGACCACTAAAAGTCATCTACTACTACTTCTTTAAAAAAAAATCATTATGTCACTCTCCTGCTCAAAAGTTCTCAGTGGCTCCCTATTTGACTAAAAAATCAAGTCTTTCATCTGGAGTTCAATAGCGTCCATGATCCCCAATTGTGCCTTAATGCTTGTTTGGTTTTCTAGGACTCCTCAGAATGAACATGTTTCTCTAGTCAAGCTGGTCTCATCAATGTCCTTACATATGCCAGGCTCATTCCTACTTCAATGCTTTCGTTTGTGCTGCTTATCTGATGTGATGTGGTGGGTGCAGCAATGGACTTTGGGTCAGGATTTGAACCCAGGTCTCTCCTACCTCAGACACTTGGCTTGGCTTCGCTGCCACATACAAGTCACTCAATCTCTAAGAACCTCAGTTTCCCATCTGTAAAATGGGCAACATAATACCTATAGCACCTACATTATAGGGCTACTGTGAGGATGCCTTGAAGTAACATAAGGCTTATGAAGAACTTTCATAAGGACAATATAAATGTTATTACCCACACTTAAGACCTCACTCCAACTCAAACCCACCCTTCTCCATGAAGCTTTCCCTGAGCACTCAAGTTTACAATGTTCTCTTGCCACTTTGGTCTCCCAAAGTGATTACAAGTAGGGCCTTACTGATGTAGCACTTGATTCTTCTCTGTGTATTTGTTACAGAAACATGAAAGATCAGAGTTGGAAGAGACACTTCAGGGTCCATGTCATCCAACCCTGACCATGGATTCTTTAAATGGGGTTTCTTGCTCATAAACTGTCTCATTCCTAGAAAAGAAATGTCCCCAACCTGGACCTGGGACTCAGTTGTCTCCCTAAATCGACTGTAAATTCCCAGAAGACAGGGCCTGTATTTTCTATTTATATTTTCAAAGACTCATAGATCTAGAGCTGAAAAAGACCTCAGAGGCCAAATAACCTCAACCTCTCATCTTATAGTTGAGGAAATTGAGACCCAAGGAGGTTAAGTGATTTGCCCAAAGACATATGTTAGAGGTGGTGTTTTAGTCCAGATGCTCTTACTCCAGAGCCAGCTTTCCTTCCACTGAGCACACTGCCTCAAGGGTGCCTGGGCCAAGGATGAATGTGTTAGATGCTCAGCATGGATTTTGTGATTAGCTAATTGATTTGCCCTTGGGGGGGGGTAAGGGGTACATAGTGGAAAGGAGGGTACACCCATAACCAATTGAGCCCCCAGGTAATGTGCCTAGACTCAAAAATGTGTCCCATCCAGTTCCAGCTACCTCCTCATTCTCATTCCTAGATAAGGCTGCTTCCACAGCCTTCACTATACCTGATCTTCATGCCACACAGCCCTAGAAGGGATGCCAGCTTGCGCCAGTCATTGCCGGTGATACTGTTTGGCTCCAACAGCATCTGCAGCTGCTCAAAGAGCTCTGGAGGCAGCCTGAGGGAAAAGACAGTAAGTAGTTGGGGGGAGGGGAGAGGGAATCTAGATCAAGTTGTTGGCTCCTCCGTAATTAGCATAGAACCTCTTCCCAACACTCCTGGGGAAGCTACAGGGTTGAAACAAGAACCTCAAATTGGCATCCTAGATGTTTCCCACCAATCTCTTGCCTCACCTGTTGCATGGGGCAGGTCGGGAGACTGGAGGTGGCACTGCCCAGCTTTCCTCCTCTGATGCCTGGAACCTTAGGATTTCCATGTACTTGGTCTCCAAGCCCTGAGTCAGGAGAGGAATATAAAACATGGGGAAACAGAGAACAGGGCTCAGAAATCCTGACAAAGGAATCCTGAGGAGAGGATTCTGGAAAGATGGCAGACTAGGTCAGAAAATTCCAAGCTCTCCAGATTTCCCCTACAAACAAGATGAAATAGTACCTCAGGGCAAACACAGAGCACTAAAAATAAACAAGATTTGGGGCAGAACAGTGGTCCTCCTGGAATAATCACAGAAGATCTGAAGAAAAATCCCAGGATTGAGGTTTGGTCCCTGTGAAGAGTAAACACCTCCAGATTAGTTCCACTGAAACAAGTGGTGAGGCCTGGGGCTAGCTGGGCTGGGAGGTGGCCTCAGGCCCAGCCAAAGGAACTTTCAACTCCAGGACAATGTGGGGAGTTGGGTGTCTCAGCCAGGGAAGATTGAGGGAATGAGGGGAGGAATGCTAGCACCAGCTGTGCCTTGGAGACACAGCCCTGGGTGAGAAGGAACCAGCACACACCCAGTGAGTGCGGAAGCAGTGGGGTGTGCTGGCTGTGGGCACTTATAGGAGGGCAGAATTCTTGGTTTGGGTTCTAAGCCAGAGAGGAGAACTGAAGAAGGATTTGAGGCCAGAGGCACCATACCCCATACTCCAGGAGTGGGTTTTGTCTTCAGAGGAAGGTACTGAAGTTAAAAAAAAAAAAAAGCTTCTCCTACTCTAAAAAATAACATTAAATGGTCACCTGCCCAAAAAGAATTCATAGAAGAACTTTAAAAAGAATTTAAAAATCAAATGAGAGAGATTCAGAAAAATTTAAAAAAAGAAGAATCCAAGAAAAACAGGGGTATTATGAAAAGAAAGTCAACCAAGTGGAAAAGGAGATCCAGAATTTAAGGAAGAAAATGACTCCTTGAAAATCAGAATTGGGCAAGAGAAAGCCATTGAAGTTCTAAAAGACCAAGAAATAATGAAAGAAAACATAAAGAGTGAAAAAATAGAAGAGAATGTGAAACATCTCATTAGAAAAACAACTGGACTAGCGGGAGCCAAGATGGTGGAGTAAGAAGTAAGTCACTCTCACTCTCCCTTATTGACCTCTGAAAGCCCAGAAAATATCACCCTAGGAAAAATCCTGGAATAACTGAGCCAGCAGAAAGACAGGGTGCGGCAGTCTTGTAGCCCAGAAAGCTTGGGGGATTAACAGGAAAGGTCCCTCTCTCTCTGGGGGAGCCTTTCCCATTAATCAAGGGGAAAGTCTGAGCCCCAGAGTGCTGGAACAGGCAAGCACCAACACCAGGACCACTCCAAGAACCTCAGCACAGGAAGGGGAACTGGTAAACACTAGCTCAGAAAAATATACACCAGCATTCTCCCGCAGCCAAACATTTGGGTGGACAGGCACCCTCCAGGGCCAAAATCCACACCCTTACCCCAAGAGCTCCACGCTTGCTGACCCCAGCTCAGCACCAGGTAAGCTGCCAGACCTCTACAGCCTCCAGCTGCCAGCACCTGAGGCCCCAGAACACAAAGCCAGTGTCCAGGTTCCGGGATCCTAGCACAAGAAGTGTGGCTCAGTGTCCCCTCTTCTCCAGCAGGAGAGCTCAACTTTAAAAGCCAGGAAGCAGGCAAACACCATGAGCAGAAAGCAGAAATGGACAATGACCATAGATTCTTATTATGGGGACAGAGAAGATTGAGATACAAATTCAGAAGAGGACAACATTGTCAATATACCCACATCCAAAACCTCAAAGGGGAATATGAACTAGTCTCAAGCCTAAAAAGCCTTCCCAAAAGAGCTCAAGAAGGATTTTTAAAGTCAAATAAGAGAGGTAGATGAAAAATTAGAAAAGGAAATGAGAGGTATGCAAGAGAGAGTCAATAGTTTGGAAAGGGAAGGATAAAAATTGACTATTGAAAACAAATCCTTAAAAAATTGAGGGGCACTCACATGACACAGTGGATAGAGCACCAGCCCTGAAGTCAGGAGGACCTGAGTTCAAATCTGGCCTCAGACCAAACACTTGACACTTACTAGCTGCATGCCCCTGGGCAAGTCACTTAACCCCAATTGCCTAAAAAAAAAAAAAGTACAATTGGTCAAATTGGGGGGGGGGAAGTGCACTGAAGAAATCAACTCCTTAAAAAGTAGAATTGACCAAATGGAAAAGGAGGTACAAAATCTAACAGAAGGAAATGATTTGTTAAAAATTAGAATTGGGCAAGCAGAAGCTAATCACTGTATGAGAGATCAAGAATCAGTCAAACAGAAACAAAAGAATGAACAAATAGAAGAAAATGGAAAACACCTCATTGGTAAAACAACTGACTTGTCCAGGAGAGACAATTTAAAAGTTATTGGTCTACCTCAAAACCATGATGAAAAAAGAGCCTGGACAGCAACTTTTAGGAAATCATTAAGAAAAACTGCCCCGAGAGTCCTAGAACCAGAAGGTAAAATAGTCATCGAAAGAATCCACCAATCATGTCCTGAAAGAGATCCCAAACTGAAAATGCCAAGGAATATAATAGCCAAATTCCAAAATTACCAAGTCAAAGAGAAAATATTGCAAGTAGCCAGAAACAAACACTTTAAATATCATGTAACCACAGTCAGGATTTCACAGGACCTTGCAGCATTACATGGAATATATTCCATAAGGCAAAGGAGCTTGAATTACAACCAAGGATCAACTACCCAGAAAAATTGAGCATAATCTTTCAGGGGAGGAGATGGCCATTCAACAAAATAGGGGACTTGCAAATCTTCCTGATGAAAATACCAGAGCTCAACAGAAAATTTGATCTTCAAATATGAGACTCAAAAGAGGCATAAAAAGGTAAACAGGACAGAAAGAAACAACATGTTATTAATAAGGGCAAACTGTTTACATCCCTACAAGGGAAGATGACACTTGTAATTCTTGAGAATTGTATTGCTATTATACCATTTAAAAAGGTTATACACAGACAGAGGGCATAGATATAAGTTGACTTTGATATGATGATAAAAAAATATATAATTAAGTGGTAAAAAGGGATTATTCTGGGAGAAGAGGAAAGGAGGAGGCAGACAAGGGTAAATTTCATCACATGAAAAGGCACAAAAACCTATTACAGTAGACAGGAAGAAGGCAGGGAGATGAGCATAGTTTGAACTTTACTCTCATCAGATTTGGATCAAAGAGGGAATAACATAATCAGTTAGGCATAGAAATCTAACTTACCCTATAGGAAGTAGGAGGGGAAAGGGGAAAGAAAAGGGAGGGAGTAGATAGAAGGAAGGGAAGTAGTAAGGATAAAGGGGAAGAAAAGGGAGGGGGCTGATAGAAGGGAGGGCAGACTGAGGGAGGCAGTGGTCGGAAGCAAAACTCTAGTGAGAAGGGAAAAGGAGAAAGGAGAGAGAATGGCATAAATGGGGGGGGAATAAGATGGAAGGAAAGACACAGATAGTAATCATAACTGTGAATGTGAATGGGATGAACTCTTCCATAAAACAGAAGCAGATAGCAGAGTAGATTAAAAATCGTAATCCTACAGTACATTGTTTAAAAATCTGGAGAGGAGGCAGTGAGGTGGTGCAGTAGATAGAGCACCGGCCCTGGAGTCAGGAAGACCCGAGTTCAAATCCTGCCTCAGACCAAACACTTGACACTTATTAGCTGTGTGACCCTGGGCAAGTCACTTAACCCCAACTGCCTAAAACTTTTAAAATAAATAAATAAATAAAGACCTGGACAGACTTATTCAAACTGATGCTGAGTGAAATGAGAAGAACCAGGAGAACATTGTACACATGTGGCATGACTGACTTTGATAGACTTAGCTCGTCTCCGCAATGCAAAGATCTAAGACAACTCCAAAAGACTCACAGTGGAAAATGCTATCCACATCCAGAGAAAGAATTTTGGAGTCAGAATGCAGATGGAAGCATACTATTTGCTCTCCTTTTGTTTTGTTGTTTTGTTTTGTTTCTTCTTTCTCGTGGTTCCTTCCATTAGTTCTAATTCTTTACATCATGTTTAATATGAATGTATAAGTACAGCCTATATCACATTGCATGTTGTCTTGGAGAGGGAGGGGGAGAAAATTTAAAACTCAGAATTTTATGAAAGTGAACGTTAAATACTAAAAATAAATTTAGAAAAAGAAAAACAACTGATCTGGAGAACAGATTAAGAAGAGAAAACACAAGAATAATAAGAACCTGCTGAAGCTGTACCTTGATGGAATTCCCATGCTCATCCATTCCCTTTCCCAGTCCTGGTGCCACTATGCCAAAAGAGGCAAGCAGCCCAGGACCTCTTCCCCTGTGCTCTCTTCTTCCTAGGAAAGTAGGGGGTATTTGGCAGGTGGGGTAGGGGAGGGTTCTTTGAGAGCCAGCCTCAAGTTTGTTCATTGCCCCTATAGAAAGTGAGAGGCAAAGACTGATTCATAGACTTTCAGATACCAAGGAAAGAAGCAAGTGGGAGCCAGTGAATGTCAGCCTTGGGGAAGGGAAGGGAATTCAAACTCCTTTATCAACTACACACACACACACACACACACACACACACACACACACACACATACCCCTCAATTCCCTGTCTCAAGGTCCTAGACTGAACTCAGGGGAATCCCTTCCATCTTTGCCTCCTTTTCCCTGGTAATTCCTATTTCCCACTCAGATCCAGATGAAACTCCTAGCTGAGGTCTTAAGCTATTTTAAAACACAGGGACTCATACCATTATACCTGATGGACATAGAGGCTCCTCAAAATGTGAGGCCCTAAACTACAGCTTGTTTAGCTTGGCCTAAAATCTAACCCTGCTCCCACTCACCTCATGTCTTCTGTTGAAACCCTACTCAGCATTTCTAATACCTACTACCAGTGTGTCTACCCAATCTCTTCATACTCTTTATTTTGAAGATGAGTGATATCTTCTCTTTGAATTAAAAAGTCAACCTGGAAAGGAAGTGTAATCCCACCCTATGGCTTGGCAGGGTAATTAAATGTTTTATAAATTCTCTTGCTGGTCTTCAGGGCTTGTGGACAAGAAATCATTAAAGGACTCTATCTCCATTTGCTTAATTATGTTAACAAAACCATATTCACTCTGTTCTCCCAAATCCCTTAGTCCCATAGGTTTCCCATTTCCTTTTCCCTGACAACACTGCTTCTTTGGTACTCACATTCTGGAAGGTGTGCATAGTGACGATAATTTCACTGGTCAGTGCTGCATTATCTTCGTACTCATCGGTTCCTAAGGGAGCACAGGAAGCAACAGGTGATGAAATGGATAGGGGCCAAAGTGGATGAATGAGGAGGAGGATAGTAGAAGATCCTATCTTCCTTACCCTCCCTACCCTCCTCTAGTCCTGCTTTTCAGCTCCTAGGAGGACTCAAGTTCTGAAGGGTTTCCTCTAGGGACCTGGGAACTAGAGAATCTGTGGGCCTGTCTATTTTTCCTCACTTACAAAGGTCCTGTTATATTTCTCTGCTGATACAATTGGGGCTCAAGGGCTTCAAGACACGCTACTGGAAATGATGAAGAAGGGAAAGGGATGGGCTTTTGGGTTACCTGCTTTTTTCTTGAAGCAAAAGGAGCGGAAGGGGCACTTTCCATGCCAAATGTGGAGGTAGGGTACCATCTGGCAACTGCTGTCATCCACATTTTCCCAGCCTGGGTTTGGGGGATGCAGAGGAAAGCAGGTCACTCTGTGGGCAAGGGTTGAGATGGGGAGGAGGGCATGTGTGCCTGTATGTGCGTGTGCACACACACACACACACACACACACACACACACACATGCACATCCCTCAGCTACTATCTATAGCTTCTTCAATCTATTCATAAGAAGAGTGAAAAAGACCAGGGATTCCTCGATCCTAACACCAACTCAATCCTTGGTTTAGAAAAGCATAGTGAGTCTCTCTCTAGAGAGAGAGAGAGAGAAATACATACACATACAGAGTCAGTTGACCCCTATATCCTTCTTTTCAGGCTGGTCCTTCCAAGTTCTTTTTCATCAAATTCAGGAGACATAATCAGGGAGAACAGCAGCAGGAAGAAACAGGCAAAATTAAGTGGCAAATAAGAAGAATGGTTGGTTGGCCTTTCTTGAAGCTACTACTTTCTAAGAATCAGAAATATATCCTGGAAATGAAGAACATGGAGTTTCCCATGGAGGGGGGGTTTAATGCCCCAAGATTAGATTTCCTTATAACAAAGCTCTTTTATCCCAGAAAGCAATATATGCTCATCTCTCTCCTGGACTCTCCAGGTCTCCTCCAGTGTCTACTCCTTTATCTCTATAGTCCCATCGTGAATAAGTCTCCCTACTACCACCCCACACTTAGTATCCACAATACCCTCAAAGGATCACAGAACTGAGAGGTTCCTTAATAATATAATATAACAATCTTAGTGATAATCTAATCTAGTCCCTTCATTTTATAGAGGGAACCTGAGAAATGTAAACTGACTTGCTCAAGGTCACTGTGATATTAAGTAACAGAGTCAGTATTAGAATCTTGGGCCCTTGACTCTGAATCCAGAACACTTTATACTATACTAGGGCTGCCTCTATTACTGGTTCTTTCTGTCTATGCTGCCCGGTTCTGTATCACTGCCCTCTTCTTTCTGTCCCACTTTACCTTCAGAGATGTACTTGAGTTTCAGACACTGGTCCCCTCGAGTCCCCATGAAATCAAAGAGTTGGCAGGGCCCACGGAGGCGCCCACCATAGGGCTCCTCATTGGTCATTGCCCACTGCAGGGCGCATGGTGTGTTGTTGAGGAAGTAGACACGCAGCTGTAGGTGTGACTGTCCTGGTACCAGGGCTGAGCAGAATACAGCTAGCTGCAACCACTTTCGGGCATCATATTCATTGGGAGCCTCCAGCACGCAGGTATAGAGACTAAAGAGGTAAGGGAAAAGATGGGCATATCTGTGTTGTTTGGATGGCAATAGCCAAAGGAGGGGAGATGAAGAGGAATGCTGGGAGTAGGTGAGGAAGAGGGTATCTGTAACAAAGGAGACTGGCAAAAGAACACAGGCAGGAGGTAACATATTTCAGACCCAGATCCAACTGGTGAAAGAGACAAGGAGATTGATGGAATTGTCTCTGGATCTGGAGTCCAGGAACATGGTTTGAGGGTCCATATTGGCCACTAAATTGCTGTGTGATCTTGGAAAGAAATTCATCCTGTTTCCTCTTCTGTAAAATGATGGGGCTAGACTAAATGATCTACCTCTAAGGTCATTTCCAGATCTAGCATTGTGTGCTAGAGTAATGGAGTCCTACCTACAGTGTCTGTGAAGGTTGGGACAGAATGGGAAGGAGGAAGTCAGGCCCTGAGGAGACCAAGGAGGAGGGAGTGTCAGGAAGGACAGTGCTGGAAAGGAGTGACTCATGAAAAGCTGGAAGTCAGTTCATCCATATGGGGCAGGGAGGGGCATGTGTACTCAGCTAGTTCCTCCAGAGAGGTGGAGAACAACACCACTATGTCACCGAGGAAAGAGGAAGAGAAGTAGGAACCAGAGAGAGAATAAGGCAGAAGAAAGGGGTGAGGAGGTAGATACTTCTGGACAGAAAGATGGAAAGATTAGAAACAGAGGAAAGGGGGCAGCTAGGTGGCGCAGTGGATAGAACACCGGCCCTGGATCCAAGAGGACCTGAGTTCAAATCCAGCCTCAGACACATAACACTAGCTGTGTGACCCTGGGCAAGTTATTTAACCCCATTGCCTAGCAAAAAAAAAAAACAGAGGAAAGTCATTTCTGGAAAAAAGACAGATAAGGATGACAGATGGCAGATGGGGGAGCACACAGGGAGTGATTGTGGACATAAATAGGCAAGAGCTGAATACATTAATCTATTTGATCATTATAGTCAACTGAAAAATCAGCATTGCTTTAAGGAATCAACACTGAATTATGAGTTGTTTTGTCTAACTGCAATAGTTCATTATGTTAACACAACATGGAAGTCACCAGGGAGTTAGTGTGATATAGCAACAATGAGTTTAGAGTCAGGAGAAACCGAGGTTCAGATCCCAACTCTGATACTTAACTGTACAACTACAGACAACTTGTTCAACCTTTCTGAGCTTCAGTTTCCTCATCTATAAAATGGGGATGATATCTATAGCATTCACCTCACAGGGATATTTGAGAACCATATGTGATAATGGGTGCTTTAAAGGGCTTTGCAAAACCTTAGAGCACAATATAAATGCTAGTTATATTTGTTAATAATAACCACAAGCACATATACATTCATTACATATTACATATAGATGCATATATATTATATCGATTTATATATTATATAGATGCACAAATTATATATTCTGGTTGTTGTCCATCATTCTCAAAGAGGACCAAAATGACATCGCTGTGTTGCAGTCAAGACGCAGTGTGTTTGACTGTGGCTGATCAGACCAATATAAGCTCAAAAGGCTCTACCACAAGTCAGACGCAAATAGTCCATATGAACTGTCTTTGAATTTGCACATCTCACGTTTTGTTTGAGCTACTAAAATTCTGCTTTGCTCATAGAGTACATCACCTTCTTTGATGCAGGCATGCCATGCTAGGCAGTCCTGTGTCAGTGCCTCCCATGTCTCACAACTGATTCCAAAGTTCTTCAGACAGACCTTGAGAGAATCTTTGTATTGCTTCTTCTGACCTTCCTGTGAGTGTTTGCTTCATGTGAGCTCTCCATAAAATAGTATTTTAGGCAAAGGTACTTTTGGCATTCAAACAACACGGCCAGCCCATAAGAGTTGCGCTCTCTGCTTGTTGAAGGTATCCAACAACCTCAAAGAAAATATCATGCTAAAAAGCATAGGGTAAGCACACAGTCCTGCTTCACTCCAGTGGGAAAGTACAAGAGCATTATCCATTCTCCAGAACCCGGGCAAGCACATCCTCATGAAATTAATGTACAATACTGATGAACTTCTCCAAGCAACCAAATTTTGCCATAATTTTCTATAAGCCCTCACAACTGACAGTATCAAAGGCCTTGGGCAGACTGATGAATGTTGTGTACAGGACTCTGTTCTGCTCCTGGCATTCCTGCTGGAGTTGTCCAGCAGCAAACACCATATCAACCACTCCTTGGCCCTTTCTGAAGCCACATTGTCTCTGATACATGACCATCTTCCAAGTGAAAGATTATCCTATTAAAAAGGACTCTGCAAGAATCTTGCCAGTAATGACTGAGAGACCCCACACATGATTGTCATAGGACAACCTATTTCCCTTTCCTTTATAGAGATGGACAATGGAGGCATCCTTGAACTCCTGGGGAATAACCTCCCCTTGCCAGTCAGCTTTTGTATGAGCAATGTATCCCCTGCCTTGTAAATCTCAGCTAGAATAGAATCATCATCAAGCACTTTGCCACACAAGAGGAGCTGAATGGCATTCAGACCCTCTTCTTCAGTTGAAAATTTGACTAGAGAGAAATGGACTCCAACTTGAGGTATACAGTCACTGACCTCAACATTGACTGATGACAGTCTGTTGAGAACACTATGGAAGTGTTCCGCCTACCTCTGCAGGATCTTGTCCTTATCACTAATCAATGTGGCTCCATCAGCACTGAGTACTTGAGATACACCATAGGTCTTTGGCCCAAAAATAGCCTTCAGGGCATCATAAAGGGCTTTGGATTGTTACTATCAGTGTAAAACTAAATTTCATCTGCCTTCTTACTAAGCTAAGAATTTTGCGTCTCTCTAAGCTTCTCTTGCACTTTACTTTTGATTGAACTGAATGCTGCCTTCTTAGAGATAGATGAACTATCCTGCTCATAAATCCTGTGGAGTTCTTGTTTTTCATTTAGCAACTTCTGAATTTCCCCATCATTTTCATCAAATCAATCTTGATGTTTGCAAGTATTCTAACCCAGATGAATAAATGCAGTTCTGCACACCAAATATCTGAAAGCTACCCACTCCTTTTCTACTCCACTGTTGCCAATTGCGTGTTGGCTCAGCTTTCCCTCCAAGTTAGCAACAAACTGTTCACACTCAGAGGAGAGCTCTAATCTGTTGACATTAAGTCTTGTGTTAGCCATCTTGCCTTGGGGCCACTGCTTTTGGTGAATGTGAATATTTAGCTTATGAGGATAAATCTATGATGAATCCATCACTCAGTGCCACACATTGCCTTCATCACTCTCACATCTTCTCTGCTTCATATCCTTACAACAATATAATCTATGAAATGCCAATGTTCATTGCGAGGGTGCATCCGGGAAATTTTATTACGTTTAGGCAAATGGAAGACAGTGTCAGTGATGAGAACATCATGAGATGCACAAGACTTCAGCAGTAAGTACCCTTTGCTGTTTCTGTTTCTGACTCCATTCTTCCCAAGGACTCTCTGCCATGTCTGATAGTCTGTGCTTACTCTGGCATTAAAGTTACCCAGAATTATAAGCTTGTCCTCTTTTGGCACATTGCTGATGTGGGTCTCCAGGTTTTCATAAAATTTTTCTTTGACCTCATCAGGGTTCATCATGGTGAGAACATATTCACTGATGATGGTGGCATGGCATTTTCCTACAAGGTACAATCACAAGCTTGTATGCCACCCAAAAGCTTGTTGACTAGATTAGTTTTGATTGCAAAACATATACCAGCTTCACAGCACTCCCCTTCACTGCAACCACTCCAGAAAAACATGTATCTATCTCCAACTTCAGTAAGCTGGCCTTCATTTGCTAGCCTTGTTTCACTCAGGGCTGCTATTTAGATGTGACATCTGCTGAGTTTTCCTGCAACAAAAGCTGCTCATCTTTCAGGTTAACTGGATTGCATGTTGTCCATAATATGTGTGCATATTCCATGTACTGAGAGTAAGTGGAATTATCTTCACAAAAGTTTCTGTACATTTGTTCTGTGTTTCAACTGTAGGGTGGGATCCCTGCCTGCTACAGCAGGCAGGTCAGGATTGGATAAAGCAGACAACTTTTAGGGCACCTTTTTTAGCCCTTTCCTTATGCCCAGAGGTAGGCAGCACAATTCTTTAAAAAAAAAAAAAGCTAGGGGGCAGCTAGGTGGCACAGTAGATAGAGCACCAGCTCTGGAGTCAGGAGAATCTGAGTTCAAATGTGGCCTCAGACACATAACGCTCACTAGCTGTGTGACCCTGGGCAAGTCACTTAACCCCAACTGGCTCACCAAAAAAAAAACAACAACAAAAAACAATGCTGCTCAGACCCCCAGGGAGCTGTCAAATCCCACTGCTGCTTCAGTCCAGTGAAAAGATGACCCTATGGCCTGGACTGCTTGTGTGCAAGGTTGTGACTACAGCTCCCAGTGTATCCGTACCTGCTACTTCATCACTTGCCTGTGACTTTGAGGTAGATAAAAATGGTAAAATGGTTCAGGTGATATCTTTTGACTTGTGCATAAATTGGATTTAAGTGAGGCAGAGACTGGTCTGCCTCACTCTCTCTTCCAGAGTCATGGAAATCCAGTGGCAAGACAAAAGTCAAGACAACTGGCAATGGCTCGGAATGCAGTAGATGACCTTGGTGTCTTTGATATCTAACCAGGCTCTAAGAGCTCCACAACGCCTGCTTCCACCACCTTCGTGGCTATTGGAACAAATCATTCTCATCTGCCCATTCCTCTGGGAGAAGTCTTCACATGCTTAGGGTAGACACCCCCCTAATACAACACCAGGTTTAAGGTTTGTCAGTTACCCTCAACCCGATTTAGCTCATGTGCCAAGTTTTCCAGTGTGTGGCTAATGCACATGCTATAGCTTGTTGGAGTCACAGGTGAGAGTTGGGTGAATCGGGTAGGCACCAAAGGTAGAAAGCAGCCCTGCAAAGGGCTTGGCAATCCTTACCCCATTATATATTACACATCATATAATATACATATATATGTATCAATAAAGGAGCTATATGAGAATCTATGTACATAATATACACATAAATTTTCATATATTTGCATATTATATATGATTCAGATATATTATATACAATACAATGGATCTATCTCATTGTTTATATATATATATATATATATATATATATATATAATATACACATACATACAGAGAGAGAGAGTGTGTAGAGGCTATATGAAAATATCTTGTTAATATGCATATGAAAGTTTTCTGAAAAAAAACTAATTTACCAAGGTGTCAGAAAATAAAGAAACTGGAAAATTAAAAAATAACAATTATTAATCTCATCCAGAGTGAACACATTATAACACTACCATTTCCTACCCCCTTAACACACACAGAGAGAGAAAATCTACCACTTCTCTCTGAGGTCAGAACTAAGAATGAGAAACTATTTCTATATACAAAATGCAGAACTCATGCTTCTGAATTAACGAATGAATGAATGTCTCTGTGTGTCTGGGTGTGCCTATGGGTACGTGTCAGGACTAATGAAGCTTTTTGCTCCCCCACATGTACTCTTTGATCCAGTGACACTGGCCTCCTGGCTCTTTCACAGACAAGACTGCATCTCTCAGAGGCTCCAAGCATTCTCTCTGGCTGTCCCGAATGCCTGGATTTCTCTCTATCCTCAGTTCCACCTACTAGCTTTTCTGGCTTCCTTTAAGTGTCAGCTACAATCCCAATTCCTACAGAAAGCCTTTCCCATCCCCTCTTAATTCTAGTGCCTTCCTTCTCTTAATTATTTCCTACTTATCCTGTAGATAGCTTGTTCGTGAATATTTGTTTGCTTGTTGTCTCCTCTGTCAGATTGCAAGTTCATTGAGGGCAAGAATGGTCTTTTGCCTCTTTTTGGATCCCCAGTGCTTAATGCAGTGCCTGGCACATAGTAGACTCTCAACAAATGTTTATTGACTGGTTGGTTGATTCTTATTAGTGAATAGATCTTTAAAAGTTCAAATTCTGAATCTATCAATAGTTGGTCCTAACCTCTCCCTTCTCCAGACTGATATACCAAGCATCTCAAAAGTCTTTCTGCAGTGTTAAGCTTAAATAGCTAAAAATAACACTAAGACTTTTGGGATAATCTGTATCGAGTAACACTGTCCCAATTGTTAGGGGGACAGTTGATTTAGCAGGGAGAGGGAGTGCAAGGAATAGATAAAGCAGATGACCACCCCTACCTGAAGTGGGAGAGGGGGATTCGACACTCATCTCTCGAAGTGTGAGCCCCAGGCTGTCCCAGGGGCTTCCAGTTCTTGTCATCGAGTAGGGCAGTGCTGCTGGAATAGATACAGGCATAGCTGGAGTTGTGAGCACAGTGTTTGAAAGTAAGAGTGCAGGGCTTCAGGAAGGAGGCTCCATGGGGGCTGCATGCCACTACAGGGCTCACCAAGGCCTGGCTACTCAAAAGTGACGGGGCATCAGTCAGGTCCCACACCAGGGTCAGGGACACTTGCTCCCGGCGTCCCAGAGCTACTGCCCCTAGGAAAAGGAAAGCACAGGGTAGAAGAGTCAGCAAGGGCAGAAGAGAAGGGCAAAGCTAAAGCTAGGTGAAATCAAGATGGGGCTTAGTTACACCAGGAGTAAGGCACTGCGGTGTCAGGGGTCATGCTGTCTGAGGGATGGAGAAGAGGGAGGTTTAACACATTGAAGGAAGGAACAGAAACAGGTGCTGAAGTCTTATAAAGGTGGGAGCAAGGAAAGAAAGAACAGAGGTAGTAGAAAGGAGACCCAACATTAAGAGGTCAGGCAGCAACAGTAGGAAAGCCTGGGTTCCTGTGTGCAGGAGGTAATAATAATAATAATAATAATGATAATAATAATAATAATAATAACTAGCATTTATAGAGAGCTTTAAAAGTTGCAACACTTTTTACAATTTTCTCATTTACAAATCTCATTTCATCCTCACAAAAACCTTGAGAGGCAAGTGTTATTATTATCTTTATTTTAGAGATGAGAAAACTGAGGCAAACAAAAGTTAAGTGACTTGCCCAAGGTCACACAGCTAGCAAATGTCTGAGGGTAGATTTAAACTCAGGAAGACCCTGGGAAGTGGATGCTATTATTATCCCCATTTTACAAACAAGGAAACTGAGGCACAGAGCTGTTAAGTGACTTACCCAAGGTCACACAGCTAGTAAGCATCTCTCATCCATTCCCATCCCCCCAATCCACCCAATTATCATTTTCATGCTGATGACTCTTAAATCTACTTATCCACCTTTAACCTCTCTCCACTCTCACATCTCCAACTGCCTACTAGACATCTCACGCCAGATGGCCCATAAACACCTTAAACTCAAAATATCCAAAGCTGAACTCGGTAGCTCTCTCCCTAACCCTCCCCCACCCCCATCCGAATTTCCTTATTACTGTCAAAGACACTACTATCCTCCCAGTCAACCAGGCTCACCACCTAGGTGTTGCCCTGAACCCCTAACTCTCTCTCACCCCACCTTATCCAGTCTGTTGCTAAGGGTTGCTGCTGAGCCACCTTCTCTCCTCTGACACTGCTATGACTTTATTGTAGGTCTTCATCAACTCACATCTTGACTATTTCTTATACCTGACACTCCCCCATGTACTCATTTATCCAGTGACACTGGTCTCTCCTTGCAGGAGGCAAGATGCTTAACCTGAAAGAGACCATATAGGTCACCTGTAGAAGTCTTATGGCCTAGTGGACAGAGTGCTGGAATTACAGTCAGTAAGATATGGATTCAAATCCCATCTCAGGGAGTTCTTAGCTCTGGTGCCTCTTGCAGGTCATTTAACCTCGGTTTGCCTCAGGTTTCCCATCTGTAAAATGGGATAGTAAAACCTCATGGAGTCATTTTGAGGCTCTAATGGGATCATGTCTGGACAGTGCTCTGAAAACTAAAGTACTATATAGATGCCAGTTGATATTATTATTATTATTATTATTATTATTATTATTATCAGTTCTCCATTTCAACCCTTCATTGTACAGAGGAGGAAACCAAGGCTTTAAAAATGGCCAAATGACATGCTCAAAGTCACACACCTGGTGAGAAGTAAAAGGACAACCTAGCCAGGGGTAGTAGTTAGTGTTGGAAGGTGCATAGAGGGAATGGGGTAGAAAGACAGCAAGGAGTATAATCCATTCCCAAGGTAGGTAGGAGGTAAGGTAAAAGCAAGAAGGGAAACCAGGAGAGGCAGAAAAAGGAGGGGGAGAAAGAACAGGGCAGAGCCAGTGTGCCCAGGTAGGCATGGGTCCCTTACCTGGTGGGATGAACAGAGAGATGCCCATGTCCTTGAGCAGCAGACAGCCCCCTTGGTGATCCACCTCACGCCATGCAAACACCAAGAGCTTGTTCATCAGCTGTCGGATGACAGTTCGGCCCTCAGTGGGCATGAGCAGCTCCTGGTAGAAGTTGGCCATCTCCGTCAGGGTGGCTGGTGGATGCTGCGTTGGGGCATCATCCTCTGGCGAGGAGAAGGGCTCAGGGACTGGCTCCTCCACATCCTGTGGGGCCTCTGACCTCTCTTGGTGCCTGCTTCTGGGGCAGCCCCAACAAAGGCACTGTACCAGCAGGAGCACAGTGCCACAGGTACCCCCACCAGCAACAGGAGCTGGAGGGGCAAGCTCTGCTGGAGGAAACTCCCAAGCAAATGCATCAGTGGCTGCTGGCTCTCCCGCACTCCTAGAGAGGCAAGGAGGTTGACAGGGGCCAAGGACCTGTTGGGAGAGACAACGGGTCAGTCCTAGACTCCAAGCAGCAGCATTTTCCCTCAGGATCTGGGCTTTGTGCCAATGGAGTAGGGATCAATTCACAGGATTACAGATTTAGACCTAGAGGGGCCCTGCAATCTACACCAACACTCTCTTATTGCAGATAAGAAAAATTAAGCCCAAGTTAGACTGATTTTTCCAGGGTCACACATGTAAGGTATATGACTACTTGATGAATTCACTTAAAATATTGCTTCTATTAGGTCCCAATACAATGTTTTGAACAAAGTATGCTATATAATTATGATGGAATACTGTTGTGCTATAAGTAATGGTGAAAGGGACTGTTTCTGAGAAGATTAGGAAGACTCATTTGAAGAGACACAGAGTGAAGTAAGCAAGGCCAGGGAAACAATTTTTCCTATCACAGCAATACTGTAGAAACAAACAATTTGGAAAGACTTAATAACTCGAATCAATACAATGACTAACCACGACTGTAAAAAGCCCACGATGACACCTGCTCCCCACCTCTTGACAGAGAAGTGATTGACTCAGAATGCAAAGTGAGATATATTTTTAGATATGGTCAGTGTAGGAATTTGTTTTGCTGAACTATGCATATGTGTTAGAAAAATTTTGTTTCTCTCCAATTAGGGGAGGGTAGAGAAGGGAGAGGTAAATAGGGTTTTGTTCATTTTTTAAAATTATTTTACTTTTTTAAGAATTGAAAAAATAGGGGGCAGCTAGATGGCGCAGTGGATAGAGCTCCAGCCTTGGAATCAGGAAAACCTGAGTTCAAATCTGGCCTCAGACACAGAACACTTACTAGCTGTGTGACCCTGGGCAAGCCACTTAATCTCATTGCCTAGCAAAAAAAAAAAAAGAAGAATTGAAAAAATAAAGAATTGGCCAAAAAAAATTGTTGAATGATGATTACTTCTGTGCTCAATAGGCAACCAATGAAGTCTAAACTTGTGTCTGTGGTTTTCCACCTCAGTTAACCAGTCTTACCTCCTGCTTTACCCCAATATGCACACTCTGCTCTGGCCAGAACAAGCCCCTTACAAGCCCCTCCCCCGTTCTCCACAGGTTCAGTGCTTTATATGCTGTTTCTCTGCTTTGGCTGGTGTTAAGGCAGCTGCTGGCAAAGTGGATACAGCAGGGGGCCTGGAGTCAGAAAGACCTGAGTTCAAATCTGACCTCAGATGCTTCCTCCCTGAGTGACTCTGGGCAAGTCACCTCACCTCTGTCTGCCTCAGTTTTCTCAACTGTAAAATGGGAATATAACAGCACCTACTGCCTAGGGTTTTTGTAAAGATCGAAATGAGATTTTTGTATAGGGCTTAGCCCAGTGCCTGGCACACAGTAGGCACTTAAAAATACCTGTTTCCTTCCTTGGTCCCACTCAGGCACACTTTCTAATCCCCTTCTACCCTAATCCCCCAGACCCCCCAATCTTTAAAAGCCCAGTTCAAATCTCAATTTCTTCATGAAGCTTTCCAGAATTACTTCCATCTCCAGTGATTTTTACTTCTAAGAATTCACATTACACACCACTTAGTATTTTGTTCTACATGTGCCTTCTATGTTTGTCCACCTTGTCTCCCAAGCTAGATTGCTAGATTTTTGTGCCTCTTAGTTTCTTTTCCATCTCCCATGGTATGGGAGTACACACTAGTACTCTACACTAGATGGCCGATTAGTCACCGGGCTAATTGATTGGCAGTGTGCAGAGAAATGCAGAGATACTGAAGGAAGCCTATCCCTCTCAGGATGCCCACCCTCCTTGTACAGGGCAGAGAAACAGAGATGTCTCCCCCTCTTTGCCTTCTGGAATGGCACAGTCCATACAGTACAACAGCTTGAGAACTCGAGACCAAGAATCTGGTGGAGGTTACCGGGAAACAGCCTCCTACAGCTCTAACCCTCCCACCCTATCTCATTTTATCAGTCCAGAGCTCTGGAATCTGCCCTTCCCCCACTCCCCCCAAACCACACCTTCTCACCCCTTCCAGCAGGCCCTATCTCTGGCCCCACCTAGATACAGGTTCCTAAGTCTTCTACCACAACAACTTAACTTCTTCCACAGTTCCCTCTCCCCATGGCCCATCATATATTGTTCTCCACTACCCAGACCTTTAGCCCTTTTCAAAAATCTTATATCTAACCCTGACAGCAGAGGGGCAGAATCTTTGTATTTCCTTTTTTTTTTCTTTAGCATTTTCTTTTTATTGTAAAAACAAATCCACTCATCTTGAGACATCTTAAAAACATGGCATATTTCCTTAAATATAAAAATGATTTTTAAAACAATTCAATTTTATTATTATAATATGTATTCTACAAGAACATGGTTTGGCTCTTCTCCTCTGGTATCCTGTAGACAGCATTTTTTATCTAAAATTGACTCTGACCACATTTTACCACAATGTGGTAAACTCAAATTAAGATAAAGTCACAACCACACCAAGCAACATCTCGTGTGCCATTCAAACAGCTTACCCTCTCTATATGAGAAGCTGAATCCCATTATATCTCTTCTTCACCTTTCCGTCTATTAGATTCTAGAACTTAGAACATGACCTTGCTCTGTGCATAAGGGAGTTCAATGCTGTGTCTTTATATATTAGAAAAATATGAAAGGCTAGCTTACATTAAACTTTGCTGGTTGCAAATACATGAGTATTTCAATAGAATGTCACATGGAGTTTTACCTTTAGGATGTATATGTATCTAATTTGACTAGCTTATATGAACTTGACTTTTTTTTTCCAACGGTAAAATATAGATCCTCCAATTTCCTACCTATGGTCAATTTTTGTTTTAACTCAGCATTGAAGCTTCAATGGGCTATGGTGTCATTTTAATAGTGCATTTTTTGAGAGTTTTTCATTCCCTGTTCACAGGCCATAATGATTGTACTGAAATGGTTTCTTTGAACAGAGAAAGTTCATGAATCTTAAAATTAACTTAGATAAATAATTCTGATTTTTCCCTTTCTCCTTTAGGAATCAGATTCTTCTTCTTCCTACTCCTCCTCCTCTTCTTCTTGAGCATGGTTTCTTGTGCTTAGCTGTAATTCAGTTTGATTGATGGAAGTTTCATTATCTACCTGCACCAAGATATTTTCTGGTTCCTCTGTTAGAGGTGAAGAATGGGTCATCCCTTCCCCTTCTTTGGAGCTAATAATTGATTGAAGGGCCAGCTCTTCAACTTTGAGCCGATTGAGCTGGTCGTGCAGCACCGCCTTCACTCGCAGCAGAGTCTCCTCCTCCTTGCAGAGCTCCTGCAGCCAGCTCAGCATGTTGCCTGCTTGAGGCCTTCACCGTGCCTTCCTCTCTCAGGCCGAATCTTTGTATTTCTAAAAGAGAAATGCTAAACACTCCTAGAGGACTTCTCTTCATTTCTCTCTAGGGAGACTTTAATGCATCATCATTAGTAATGTCCCACCTATCCCTGCTTTCTCCCACCCCCACCCCCACCCCTACTGCACTGGTCACTGGTGATCCAGATAGGAAGAAAGAGTGAGGGAAGCAAAAGAGGGAGGGGAACAAGAGCTTATTAAGAACCTATTATATGCCAGACACTGAGTTAAGTTGCTTTAAAATATTATCTCATTTGATCCTCACAGGAGTCAGGAAGGTACAATGGAAATAGCTCTGGCTTCGAAGACAGAGGTGGTGGGATCTAATCTTGCCATATCCAGTTACTACCTGTATGATAGTCCAGTTTATACCACATTATAATCCAGTTAAATGTATGAGTCATTTAACTTCTCCAGGCCTATGTTTCCTCATTCAAAAAATGAGGAGATTGAACTAGACAATCTCTAAAATTCCTTTCAGCTCTAAATCTAAGATCCTATTAAGGGGTACAAACAAGAGTGGAAGAAGGCATGGATCAGGAAAGACTACATGAACAAAGAGATATCTGAGATGGGCCTTGAAGGATGGGTATGATTTCAAGTGGCAGCTGTATCTCCCCCCCTTCTGTACCTCTCCTCCCAACTCAAATCCCCTTGTGTCAAAGGGTAAAGGAGGAGTTCATTCCAGGCATGGGGAGATGGACAGTATAAATGATAGGGTGTGGCCCAAGCCGAGGTCTTCACCCCTTGCCCCAAAGGGAATCTGGCTCCCCTTTTGTCTACAGGCCCCAGCCCCTCATCTCCCTTTGAAAGGCTTAGCCTACCTTTTAATCTCATTCAGATACCTTTCAGTTCCTTCATTATCTATTCCCATTGTCTAGTCAATCTCTTAGACATTCCAATCTCTGGGAATTCTCACCCAGACCCTTTTCCCAGACCATTTTTCCAGACCCTTCCCTAGTCACTTGAGTATGTAAGATCTACCCTGACCCTCATTCGGGGCTGAGAATCTCACGCTCAAAAGGCTGAGAACCTCTCATGCCCTCTCGTCTTTATGGGCGTCACCTGGCCCTAAGTGTTTTATCACTAATAAACTTTTCCTCTCATTGAAGAAGATTTGAGTTGAATTCTTTCAGACAGGGCCTGGTACCTCGATCTTGGGGTCCCAGCACCCCAAAACCCCTAGTCCTCTTCATAAAGATATGAAGAGGAGAGATAGAGGGTCTAGAGTAAGAATAAGAGTAAAACTAAGAAAATAATAAGAATAGCTAGTATTTATGTAGTTAGTTCTTTAAGGTTTGCAAAGTAAATAGACTCTCCTGAACTCTGTTTCACATTAAGATGCAGCTACTGACCTCCCTGGCTTCCTTTAAGTCCCAACTAAAATTGCACCTTCTACAGGAAGCCTTTTCTGATTCTCTTTCTCATTGACATACGCTGATTGCCTCCCTTCCAAACTACTTTGTACCAGATGTGCCAAAAATCTTGTGGCAATTTTAAGCTATTAAAGCTTAAATATCCACTGAGATTTTGGGGCCACCCAACATTTAACTACTTGATAAGTATTTGTTAACTTTATATTTGCGCAATGTGCATTTTTGTATTTACTTGTCTCCTCCATTAGAATGTAAGCTTGGGCAGGGAGGATGCAGTCAAGATGGCAAAGCTAGAGCCAGTATTTTCACCTATTTCTCCTAACATCATCTTCTCTCCCACCCCCCCCCCCCCCATTCCCAATAATCTAGATGCACAAAAATCAAATTCTGTTTGGGGAAAGCAAGAAAAAGCCACAATGGGTCATTTTCTCAGCCCAGTGCAGCTTAAGAAGATGTTAAGAGAAGCATTCAGACACTGGGGTGGGGGCTGGCCAGGGTTGGTTTTGGCCAGAGTGGGGGGCAATAGTGGCAAGAGGCCACAGCTGCAGAGGAAGTGGCAATGGCTGCGGCAACAGCAGTAGTGAGGAGCAGCCCAGTGCCCAGGCACAGAAGGGGACTGAAAACATGAGCAGAAAGAGATCCCAGGGTTCCCCTGTGCTAGCACTGGGCACATTTGGAAACTCTGTTCCCCTTGTCCCATTATGAGTCATAGTTCCAGGGTGAGGAGGAGTAGGCCAGATCACAAGGGCTTTATCTGTGTCAGGAACAAGGAAGAAGTTCCAGAACCATAGCTATATGGCTCTGAGCCCAAGAACAGAGTGGGGACTGAGTTCTAACCTTTATCCCTGAACATAAACCTGCAGAGGGATAAACCATGGCAGGAGACCAAAACAAAGGGGGAACCAGCATTTCAATCGAGTTAAACCTAGAAAACCTCTTGGCAGGCTAACTATGACTGAGTTTAGCAGCAGACTATGGAAATTCAACCACACAAAAGCCAACAGACCCAAACCGGGTCAGGAATTTTCAAAGCACAGACCAGAAGGGCAGTGAACAGATCTCTCCCATGGATCAGACCACTTTGGAAACACTGAAAAGTTACAGGCCCCCAGATTGAGCTGTGAAAGCAGAAGCAGAACATAAAAGACAGAAGTTCAGTCCAGACATTCCCCAAAGGGGTGAGCACAGTTCAACTCTAACATAAAGTCTGAAGCAAGAAATAGATTGAAAAAATGAACAAACAACAAAAAAAGAACTTAATCATAAAAAGCTAATACTGTGATGGGGAGCTGGACACAAACTCAGAAAATAATGACTTGAAAGCATCTACAAACAAAGTCTTGAAGAAAAATACAGATTCCTAGAAGAATTAAAGAATTTTTTTAAAGTAAAAAAAAAAGATTTAAAAATCAAATAGGAGAAGTAAAAGATAAGTTGGGAAAAGAAATGTAAGTCACGCCTAAAAAATTGCAAGTTTTAACAGCTGGTAAAAGAGATACCAAAAAACACTAAAGAAAATGCCTCAAAAATAAAAATTGGCCAAATGGTGAAAAGAGGTACAAAACCTCAACGAAGAAAATAATTTATTAAAAATTAGAACCAAATGGAAGCTAATGCTTCCATGAGACAACAACAACAACAACAAATAAAACAAAGTCAAAAGACTAAAAAAAAAATGGAATATATGAAATATCTTAAAGAAAAATAATTGACCTAGAAAATAGGTTCATGAGAGATAATTTTTGTTTGTCTTCATTTGTGGTTTTGGGGTTTTTTTGAGGTAATCAAGGTTAAGTGACTTTCCCAGGGTCACATAGATAATAAGTGTCTGAGACTAGATTTGAACTCTGGTATTCCTGACTCCAGGACCAATGCTCTTTCCACTACACCACCTAGCTGCCTCTAACAGAAATAATTTAAGAACTATTGGACTGTCCTGAAAGCCATGATCGAAAAAAAAAAAAAAAGACCATATCCAAAAGAGTCATATCAAATATATTTCAAGAAATTACAAAGAAAAATTGCCCAGATAGCTTAGAAACAGAAAGCAAAGTAGAAATTGAAAGAATCTATCAGTTGTTTCCTGAAAAAGATCCCAAAATTAAAATTCACGGGAATATTATAGCCCAAATCCAAAGCTTACAGGTAAAGGAGAAAATACTATAAGTAGTCAGAAATATATATTCAAATATCATGGAACCACAGTCAGAATCACACAAAATCTAGCAGCTACCACTATAAAGAAGCAGAGGGCTTGTAATGTGATATTCTACACATACAGCAAAGGATTTAGGATTACAACCCAAAACAAGCTACCTAGCAAAACTGACTATAATCCTATAGGGTAGAAAAAATTAACATTTGATGAAACGGAGGACTGTCAAAATTCCTGATAAGAAGAACAGAGATGACTAGAAAATTGACATTCCAACACAACAATAAAAAGAAGCATAAAAAGGTAAACATGAATGAGAAATCATAAGGACTTAGGATGTAAACAGAAGTTTTCAGAAGAAGAAATCAAAGCTATCTATAGTCATATTTTTTAAATGCTCTAAATCACTATTGATTAGACAAAGGCAAATTAAAACAACTGAGAGGTATCACTTCACACCTATCAGAAAGGAGAAATGCTAGAGAGGTTGAGGGGAAAATAAGTACATTAATGAATTATTGGTAGAGTAGTGAGCTGGTCTAACCATTCTGGGAAATAGTTTGGAACTAGGCCCAAAGGGCTATAAAACTGTGCATGACCTTTGACTTCTCCAGCACCACAATGTGAAAACACTGATTCTGTGACACTCAGGTTTCCTTATAGTCCAACTCTCACAGCCATACATTGCTACTGGGAAAAACCATAGCTTTGACTATATGGACCATTGCCAGCAAGGTGATGACTCTGCTTTTTAGCATGCTGTCCAGATTTGGCATAGCCTTCCTTCCAAGGAGCAAATCTCTCTTCATTTCATGACTGCAGTTGCTGTCTACAGTGATCATTGAGCCCAAGAATATAAAATTCAACAGTGCTTCCATTTCTTCTCCTTCTATTTGCCAGGAAGTGATTGGACCAGTTGTGAAGATCTTAGTTGTTATGTTTTGTTTTATTTTCTTTTGTCTTGTTTTGTTTTTGGTGCTAAGCTTCAAGCCAGCTTCTATATTCTCCTCTTTCACCCTTATCAAGAGGCTTCTTAATTCTTCATTTTCTGCATATCTGAGATGATTGCTATTTCTCCTGGCAACCTTAATTCTAACTTTTGATTCATCCAGCCTGGCATTTTGCAGGATGTGCTCTGCATATAAGTTAAATAAATAAGGCAACAATATGCAGCTTTGTCATACTCCTTTCCCAATCTTAAACCAATCAGTTGTTCATGTTTGGTTCTAACTGTGGCTTCTTGGCCCACACACAGGTTCCTCAGGAGACAAGTAAGATAATCTGGTACTCCCATCTCTTTGAGGACTTGCCACATCTTGTTGTGATCCACACCGTCAAAAGCTTTAGTGTAGTCATTGAAGCAGAAATAGATGTTTATTTGTTTTTTCTGAAACTCCCTCGATTTCTCT